TGCCAATGTATCTTTTACGTGCACGCCAATGTGTACACGGGACCTCGATTTTTCCTCCCATCAGAACGACTAGACAGCTGTCCTTGTCAGGGCAGGCCCTCCGTCCTGCATCACTGACAAGGGAGAACCACGCCGGAAAATCTGGATGAATGCAGGGATCGAACACCCGACCTCCAGGCTAGCGAGCCAGCGTCTTACCCACTTAGCCACCGTGACCTCCCTTCCGAAAGTGTTTTTGTCAATAAAAAATTCTGCAATGCGTTACACAATGAACTAAGTAAATGATAAAATTGAACTTTTACTATAGCATTCTCCTTTAGGTCCAATCTGCTTAAAACACAGATCCTATTTCGTTTCTTTTTTTATAGTTCGAAATTTCGTTTCGGTTGACTTCACTACACTAGGATCTGGAAAAGTTGTTATATAATTAACACTCGTTCTGGTCTGGTTAATGGGAGGTAACAGCCAACGAAACGTTCTGTTATAGTGAGTTCTTGTCGCGCGGTGCACGGAACTGTGGGTATTCCACTAGAAACATCAATGCTGAATGGTTAAGCAAATATCTGACATCATAGGGTTAAAAACCGGCCATGTAACCCCTGACGCGACCTTCCACTACAACCGGTTAGATCCTATTGTAGTGGAGGCCATCGAGAGTATAAAAAAAGAAAGGAAATGTAGATCTGTATTTTAATCAAATTGCTTTAAGCCTGGTGCCAGGTTAATAGTTTGGTCAATAAAGTTTAGCTAATGACGTACCGGGTACGATATGAATATCAACTTTAAAAGATAGCGAGGGGATATCATCCAGTCGTTTCCCAAACTCAAACAAAAATTGAAAAACATAGAAATTCAATAGAATTTTCCATGGTTAATGACACTATATTGGATAGGAGGCAACGTCACGCATTGTTTACTTCCGGATAACGGTAAAAAGAGAAATTCGTTCACGTTTGCGAATGCAATCCTTGAAGATTTTAATAGTTTGCTGGGAGTACGTCATTGGCGAGTTCCACATCATTTTATGTCAATGTACAATTCTGCTGGTGCCAAGATATTACCCTTTTCTACGTTTCCAGGAAATGCTCAATATTTTGATGGTGGAACCGTCGTTTGTGGAGACTGGAAGTTGGTTAATGCGTCAACAATTGATGACATTATATGGGCGCCGAGTTATCCGACGGCTGACGTTAGTTTCAACATTATGATGCTGGTTAAACAACAACAAACAAATAACCCAAACTTTCTGGCCATCAATAAGCTACAACAACAAAAAAAAACCAACTAAGAAAACCCAAAAAAACAAAAACGTTTTGTTTGTGAGCTTGGAATAATCGCGGAATAATTCGAACTCACTGATGATTGAATCCTTTTTATTGATAAGTGCTTGATAATGTGAATTTACTTGTTTTTGTAACGCAAATAATCCTACCAAGCTCAAGCTGTCGATCGCCATTTCCGCCAATTGCGATAAAAATATTTAATCTGACGCATGTTTTGGTGATAACTTGTTCCTGTATGGCGATTCTTTTTTAGCCTTGGCGATAATTATTATTTTTTTTTTTTTGCCAAAAAGCTTTGATTCCCAATCTGTTCAGTCTATTGCGCTTGACTTGAGTCAGTTATCAATCAATCCTCCTATTTCAAAGTTTTATTATCTACAGAATTCCGTCCATCCAAATATTTGGGAAAATCCACATTTCTTTACTTTTCTGTGTAGTGCAAGGCTTCGAATCCCGTTGTAGGCTCAGTTTCACTTTTCCGTAAAGTGGTTCCTGGACATTCATAGAGGTGGAACTGGACAAAGAAACGAGATGCACGACCAAAATGATTCTACCAAATTGGAATTCGATTAAAATTAGACGCTATCCGGGCATCATTCCCCTCCGTAGCAAATCACACTTGACCGTAGATAAAATAACTGTATGCTAGTTTCAAAATACTCCGAGATTTGTCCAAGCAATACGTTGTACGTCTAATTCAGATACTTGCTGAAGAAGAAGTACGCGCGTACTATTGACCAGTATAACGTCATCACGGCTACTAACGATCTGCAGCAGATTTATATCTTTTAAATAGAGCCAATATGGTGTCATTTGGAGAAAAAGCTTTTTCAGTGATTGCTCCTACGTTGTTGAGGGGGTTGGGTGGCTGAATGGTTAGCGTCCGCGCGCTGTATCATAAAGTCTGTCATTGAGTCGACTGGCGTGGTTTCGAATCCCGGTTGTACGTGACAAGGAGTAGGGTCGCCTGTCCAATCTCGTGGGTTTTCTCAGGGTCCTCCGGTTTCCTCCCACTGCTAAAGACCCCTATGCGCAAGCGAATTATTGAAATAAAATTAAACCATATGTTAGTCCCGAAATGACGAAGTTTGTGTCGAGTGGACGTTCAACCCCATTTCTCTCTCTCTCTCTCTTCTCTCTCTCTCCTACGTTGAATAAGATCCCCTATTTCGTAAGAAGCAGCGCTTCATTATCCATTTTTAAAACACACTTAAAGACATCATATTTATATAATATTGCTTTTAAATAACTGGGTTTTTTTTTATCTATTTATATGCACGTAGACTCTTCTAATAGCTTTATATTTTAGATTTTTTTTTTGATATCTGTATCATATTTATTTAGACTTCTTATAGACTTATATTTATTTTGATGTTTTATCTTATGTTTGATTTTAATTCAATTTTAAATTATATTTTTATGTATTGATAATCATTTTATTGTAAAGGGCCTTTGAATATGAATGAGAAGGGCGCTGTATACATCTGTAATATAATTCATAAATAATAATCTTAGAATAGTGTCCGTTTCTAAGAGTTTCAGGGGTTGGATGGCCGAATGGTTAGCGCGTGTGCGTTGTATCGCAAGGTCTGTCATTGAGTCAATGGGCGTGGTTTCGATTATCCGGTTGTACGTGGCAAGGAGTAGGGTCGCCTGTCCAACCTCGTGAGTTTTTCTTCGGGTCCTCCGGTTTCTTCCCACTACTAAAGTGAATTATTGTGATAAAATTGAGTGGATGTTAACCCCTTGTCACGGGGTGAAAATATCGAGATGTTGGTTGTCGTGGTGTCGGGTTAAAGTGGCGTGATGTCGGGTCGTCGGTTTATCCGCCAAATTCCTCTCAAAACTATGATTATGTACACTGATCCTGCTGTTGGACAATAAAGTTCCCCGGGATTTTGTAGCCTGGGTTCTTCCTGTCGGTAGTGCTTGACAAAGAAACTGGCAAAGAATAGTGTCTAGTATTGTAGATGGGACAAAAAAAACAAGCTCCTGTGTACACATTCGCGAGCACATGAAAGAATCCTTTACAGTTGAAATTCGATGAAGAAATGCTATGATCCATTGAAAATTTCCGTCATATCACTCTACATAGCGTATGCCTATCTTCAATAGTCCGATTGGTGCAGCAAAGTAGGAAAATGAAATGAAATGGGGTTTAACATCCTATTGTTCTACTCCCGAAGCCACGGTGGCTAAGAGAGTAAGAAAGCTGGTCCGCAAGCCTGGAGGTCGCGGGTTCGCTCCCGGTACCGCGGCGTTGGCCGAGGAAGTTCATCGAGATTTTCCGGGGTGCAGGACAGAGGGTCTGACAAGGATAACATATAGTCTTTTGGGTGGGACGTGCACGTAAAAGACGGCCTGATAGTTGGAATTCAATATAAGAGCAGCCGTATCGCCGCTATCCGGGCAAAGTTCCCCTCACAGTACACTGTATAGCGTTTTCCTTGTTTTCATTAGCCCAGTCAGAGCAGAACGGTAGGACGTTGAACCCAATTTCATTTCAGTCAATTTTCTTACTTTTATGCACCAATCGGACTAAGAAATGCAGAGTGATATAAAAGAAGGTTTTAAATGGACCGTGGCATTTCTTTGTCGAAATTCAACTGTAAGGGATTGTTTGATGTACACGCCAATGTGTACACAGGAGCTTGTTTTTGTTTTGGTTTTTTTGCCCCATCAAGACATTAATCTTTGACAGGGCTTTTGTCCTGCACTACCGACAGCGAGAAACCACGCTGCAAAATCCCGGTGTACATAGGCATAGTATTGAGAGGTATATGGCCGATAACCCGACACCACGACAACCCGACATTTTAACCTGACAATACGACATTTTTAATTTAGTATGTCGGGTGAAAATGTTGTGTTGTTGGGTTCTTGTATTTGTACGCCATTGTGTACATGGGACCTCGGGTTTCCGTTCCATTCAAACGACGACTAGACGATGCTGGCTCCCCGTCCTGCACCATTGACAAGGGCAAACAACCAAATTGATTTTAACAGTGAATTTAATGACGAGATTCGTAAAGCAAGGACAGCAGCGGTGTAGTCGTTCGGATGGGACGAAAATAGAGGTCCCGTGTACACATTGGCGGACACGTAAAAGATCCCTTCGCAGTTGAAATTTGATATAAGAGTCGGTCGTAGCGCCGCTGTCCGAGCAAAATTTCCCTCATAGCACACTGCATGGAGTATGCGCGTCTTCATTAGCCCAGTCAGAGTAAAACAGTGGGACATTAATCCCCATTTCATGTCCATTAGGCAAGGGCAAGATGTGTGTCATGTGACAATAATATGACCTGCTGGGGCTAACCTGTACATTTTACTAAATCATGTCTAGCGATGGTTGCCAGTGGCTAAAATAATCTAGAGTTAGATTTTATTTATTGTCAGGTAGGTGGATTTACTACTATAGCCATCAGTGACGTAAGCAAGATTTGGGAATTAACGCAGTGATGGTTGCTCATCATTCGAAAAAGAAATGTGTATGGATTACATTTGCTTTAAGGGATTACTGAGATTGAGTTGGGCCATTAAAAGAAAAACACAACATGAGCTGTAATTATTGATAAATAATATTCAATTCTCCAACAGCTTTACATAATATTAGATAAATAATATTTAAATAAATAATACATCCATAATATCAATTAAATTATATGATTACTTTGAAAAAATACACAGCATGTGTGGTTGGGGTATGATTTTTGTTTTTTGTTTTTTTAAATCTATAGTATAGAAAGTGCAGGAGGACCGCGCCACACACATCACAAAACAAACCTACGGAAGGGACACAATATACACAGATGTCTCAAACAACAAAAATAGATATCAGTTCAAGTGAAGGGGGCCTGGAGTTAGCCGTGAGCGCCCACTTAGTTCTGTTTGAAAAGCGATCGAACTCTAAAAGAGCGAAACAAAGGGGAATTCCTCTTACTGTTCTCACGCATAGTTACTCTATGTAAATGATCGCCGTGACTGAGAGTTGTGTCCCTTTTATGGAGCTTGTAGAGTGTATTTGTCGGCGTGGCCGAACCCAGACTGAATCGCCGCGAAGGTTCAGGTGGCGAAACGTCTGGTTTAAAGTCAAATTCTTCATAAACTATATCCTCGTGAATAAAACCATGGAAATCTTCATTCGAGCTAGTTATGTTAGAATAACCATTACCGTCACTTCCGCTTTCACAATCGGAACCAATACTTTCATAAAAGCCGCTACTGTCATCATCGTACATTCGCTCGCTAGTTTCCGTAAATGTCCGTTCTCTTCCGTGAATGGGTATTTGCGGGAGGGGTCTGCTGGATCCAGCATCTGAAAAACTTCGATTAACTGGTCGTTTTTTGATTGCTTTAGGAACTTTGAATGGACAGGTAGCGAGTTCATATACTACATCTAATGACGTAGCCAGTGTGTATCTATTAGTTGCATTGGTTGGCTTCTTTTGTGTTGGCGTTCGTCTATTTGTGGGCGTCGTCGGCATGTCATATTCGTTTTCAACTGAAGATGTAACACAATCATTAGTGTATGTACTCATGCAGGGTTCTTCATATACGTTTGTACATTCACAAGGCGAGGAAGAATAACGTATGGAACGACATAGTGGACACATTGTTTCATCTGATAGTGGTAAACTATTCTCATACAATCTTTGTTCACTTGCTCGGCTATAGGTATCGGTACATACTTCCTCATAGACGTGATCATCTTGCTCTTCTTCAAAGCTAAAATATACATTCTCTGAAGCTCGGGTACGATTTTCCTCTCCCTCCCGTAACTGTTTAATACTTGGGGGTAGAGATCGTCGTCGGCATCGTTTCTTGATCCAACCAAACATGATTGCACTCGTGTTATTTTACACTGAAAATAACAAACAATAACTTAATTAGCCTCGTCACTATTATTTTGAATTATAAATGTGAATATTCTTTGATTGTGGATCTCTTTGCGTAAGTGTCGCCTGTCCAACCTCGTGGGTTTTCCCCTGATCCTCCGGTTTCCTCCCACTGCTAAAGACCCCTACGCGCAAGCGAATTGAACCATGTGTTAGTACCGAAATGACCTAGTTTGTGCCGAGTGGACGTTAAGCCCCATTCTCTCTCTCTCGTTGCGTAAGTGGTTGGTGTCGTACACGCAGAAGAGTGCTCATATTTTTTCGAAACACCCGAGATCACTTCCCCCGATGAGCTTAATGCACTATTACGCTAGACATTGATTGAACTTGATTGAGCTATGACTTGTTTTCTCTTGTTCGCGGAGTTGTCTGCTAGGGTGCGGTTCCCCGGAACATAGCATTAACGTAATATATATGAATCAGGATTGAACGTAGTATATGTCTTCACTAATAGGACTAATGTAGAAAGAAACAATTGCTTTTAATTATTAAGATAGATGGTTCTATATTTCATTTCATTCAAAATTTATATTTCTACAAAATTAATGAAGATATTTAGACAGTACTCTATTGAATGTTGTAAACACAGCATTTTACAGCCCCTCGCCATTCCAGCAATAACAATTTAGAACGAAAATGGGGGAGGGGAAGCCAGATACAGTGTTAATCAAGAGCCTGTATCGGTCAACCAATGTGATGAACTGTACTCATTGTTCGAAGGTGTAAGCTGTGTTCATTCGGACTTTGTTTTTTTATGTATATTAGATCTATATTTGACACCTCTCACAATTCTCCAAGTAAACTGCACTATTACATTTATACAATTTTTGAATAAAGAAAGGACGTTTGTAAGTTGTAACAAATTCTATCCAATCCAGTATATCCAAAATTATTTTTGGTGACAAGCAATAAATTATGTTTAAACAAAATTTGTGTTTTTTAAAATATCTGAAATCAAATCTGTCACGCTGGTTGTTAGTGACCATGGGTTTCATTGAGTTGGTATACGATCATCCGTATCATGTTCAATATATATATATTTTTTTTTTCGGGAGGGGTCACGGTGGATAAATGGGTAAGAAGCTGGTCCGGAAGTTTGGAGCTCGGGTGTTCGATCACTGCATTGGCCCAGAAAGTTCATCGAGATTTTCCAGCGTGGTTCGCCCTTGTCAGTGATGAAGGACGGAGGGCCTGACAAGTATAGCTGTCAGTCGTTCGGGTGTTACGAAAAACCGAGGTCCCGTATATATACACATTGGTGTGCACATAAAAGCTCCCTTTTTAGTTGGTATTCGATATAAGAGTAGGCCGTAGTGCCGCTGTCCGGGCAAAGTTTCCCTGATCATAGCACACTGTATGGCGTATGCCCGTCTTCATTAGCCATGGTTAGGAGCAGAAAAGTAGGACGTTAACCCCATTTCATTTCAATATATTGTTTAACATACACAGCATTCATTAATCTTACCTGTTAAAATGTAAAAATAGCCCCAACTGTTAAACGTCTTGATGTATGCTGAACTTTTAGTTGTCAATACTTGTTTATACTTTGAAATGGTAAAACTTGTTGACTCCTTTGAAGCCGTGAGTTGTTCTGGTGAAAACTGTTCAGGATTCGAATATATATATCTGTGACGTAGTTTATACAACTGAGTGAAAGCTCGAGTCGTTCGCGTGGACGATGAAAAGAGTCTGCCAAACTAATTAACCAATCGCAAACTGTAATACAGAGTCTCGATTATCAAGTGTATTGAATGATCACCTATGTTAACTGTCTTGTAATAAGGGACTAGTGCTGTGCCAATCCACATAATAAATGAGATTGGCGTCAGTGTTAAGTGATGATAAGTAATCATTAAATGTGTATGAAAGACAATATACTAATCTTCAACCTGATTACCTCGATTAACACTAAAACTGTTGGTCTGTTGTTTTAACCATGTTGTCGTCCCCTGAACCTGTCATGGCCACTAGAGACGGCGGACGGTGTCTGAGCACTATGTTTCGTGTAGAATTATATTTTGACTACAGTACAACGCCAATTATAGTTGATCACTATAATCGCAGTTTGCGCGTGTTTTAAAATAAATATATTGTAGGATCTTATTAACGTTACCAGTCATACGAAACGTTATAAAATAATTTTTTAAACAATATTTTTATTCAAGATGTCTGAACGGGATAAGGGAAAAGACTTAGTCTATGCGAAACCCCTCTGTATGGCGTATGCCCGTCTTCATTAGCCCAGGTTATATACATAATATTTATGCAAAATAACACAAAAGGGTTTATATAAATAGTTAAAATGGCAAACACATACATATTAATATTATATGAACATCATAACATGGGTGAGAATAAACTACATATAACACTACACATACTTATGGAAGAATAATTACTGGTTTATTTAGGCGATGTTTCGATTAAAAACGTTGAGAAAAACTCTTCAAAACGTCGCCTAAATAAATGAGTAATTGTTCTTCCATAAGTATGTGTTATACAGTGTCGCTAGCCTGGAGGTCGGGTGTTCGATCCCTGCAGTGGCTGAGAAAGTTCATCCAGATTTTCCGGCGTGGTTTCCCCTTGTCAGTGATGCAGGATGGAGGGCCTGACAAGGACAGCTGTCTAGTCGTTCGGATGGAATGAAAAACCGAGGTCCCGTGTACACATTGGCGTGCACGTAAAAGATCCCTTGGCAGTTGGTATTCGATATAAGAGTAGGCGATAGTGCCGCTGCCCGGACAAAATTTCCTTCATAACACATTGTATGGCGTATGCCCGTCTTCATTAGCCCAGGTTAGGAGCAGAACAGTAGGACGTTAAACCCCATTTCATTTCATTTCATTTCATTTATGTTATACAGTGTAGTTTATTGCCCTATCCGAGGAGCTGGATGGCCGAATGGTTAGCACGTGCGCGTTGTATCATAAGATCTGTCATTGAGTCAACTGGCGTGGTTTCGATTCCCCGGTTGTACGTGACAAGGAGTATGGTCGCCTGTCCAACCTCGTGGGATTTCTCCGGGTCCTCCGTTTTCCTCCCACTGCTAAAGACCCCTACGCGCAAGCGAATTATTGAAATAAAATTGATCCACGTGTTAGTCCCGAAATGACCTAGTTTGTGTCTAGTGGACGTTAACCCCCTCCCCTCTCCCTCTCTCTCTCTCTTTCTCTCTCTCTTTTGGTTATACATACAATTGAAAAGAAAATAATTGATCGAGATCAAAACTTATGGACTTGATTAAAAATCTTATTGTTAGCATCTAGACTGATGGGCACCAAACCAGACTCAATTTTTCTATAGTAAAATTTTGCATAGAATACGTTACCGAGTGGCAATCAGTCCGCCGTGGGGTCGTTTTCGAGATATTCGGGGTCAAAGGTCAAATGAGGTCATTTGCACTGAAAGTAAATATGTCACCATTTGTCACAATCAAATATCATATTTTTTCTTTTACATCCGAATTTATAAATATTTATGTTCACATCCTATTTGTCTGAGTTTGATCCCCCAAACTCAATTTTAATTGTCTAAGCTGTATCCCCCAAACTCATCTTGATTGTCAACTGCATCTGAGGCATGCAGCATGTGCACAATATGGCTATATAAGCAGATGTGGATGGCACATCAGAGTCAGTCAGTCAGTCTTTTAGTAAGGTTCGTTCAGGCCGAATCGGATCGATTATGCAGGAGGGGCCAATTTAACCTTTCTTCTTTGAATACATAACTGTAGTGAATATCGGACCATGTTTAATTAAATCAGAGGTACATTGGAACTGGGCCACGTTTGATTACGCCCAGTAGGTGAAACTTTTATGTGTGTAGATTATTGTTGGGCAACGTTTGATATGGAGCGGCGTTGGGGCCAAGTTTAGCCGTAGCTGATATCGTGAACAGAACATTGAGATGATCCCAGAATAGGATCCACAGGCCTATAATTATCTCAACTGTGTTGTGGAGAACTGTGCGGTGTTTAAATGTTTTACGAATAACTTAAATCAGAATAGGTATTGCAGGCCTATGTTTAATGTTTTCGTTGGACGAATAATGTTTTTGTGAATTGATGGTTTGATTCCCACCGGAAGTGACCTATGGACATATTGAACTCTGAAAATTGATTGTTTTACTGATCTGATATAAATATATAAAGTATTAAATTATACTATTAATGCCATTTCGTTTTCTTTATGATTTTGAAGACGCAGCTGGGGGGGGGGGGTAGTTTGCACGAGTGGCAATTGGTCAGGTGCCAAATCGTGACAATTGGGGGCTTGTCCGGGATATTCAATTTTAATAAACTAATGACCCAAATGGTCTTCAAAACATAAAGTCAACTTGTCGCTTTAATAGGTTAAGTTTAAGTATTAACTTGTACTTGTGAGACAGACATTGGTGAATTTATAATTGGTAATCTGAACTTAGTTACACTATGGATGAATTAAAAGATTTCGGTGAAAGTTTAGGTTTCAAAGACGAGGAGCTTAGAAACTTTGTTCGCGAACAACAAGACAAACAGCGTGATGAGAGGAAACTACAACGTGAGATGCAGCAACGTGAAGCGGATTTACTACAACGCGAAAAGGATATAAAATTGAAACTAGAAGTTATGGAAAGGGAGCATAAACAAAATCTAGAAACTATGGAAACGGAATATAAACTTTACGGTGAGAGTTCTTTCAATAAACGTTCTGGTGATAATTTTATAAAGGGACCAAAATTGCCTCCATTTGATGAAGACCGAGACGATATTGATTCTTATTTACGAAGATTTGAACGGTATGTTACAGCACAAGGTTTAGACGCATCGCATTGGGCAGTACATTTAAGTGCATTACTTAGAGGTAGAGCTTTAGGAGTTTACGCGAGACTACCACGTGACGACAGTCTTGATTACGAAGTTCTTAAAGGGGCACTGTTAAAACGGTTTGAGATGACTGAAGAAGGTTTTGTTAATAAATTTCACTATTCTACTCCTGAAGTCGGAGAAACTTTCGCACAATTTACAGTTCGATTATCGGATTATTTTACGCGATGGATTGAGCTTTCGGGTATCAATAAAGACTACAAGGGTTTGTTCGATTTAATTATTAGGAATCAATTCGTGTCTAAATGTGAACGCGAATTAAGTCTGTTTTTAAAAGAACGATCTCCCAAAACTATTTCCAACATGGCGGAATTAGCAGACCAATTTTGTGATGCGCGAGGAAGTAAAGCTAACAGGTTTCTTCGGAATAAACATAATGAACATTATGGGCATGCGCGTCCGCCAAATTATAGCGAATCTGTTAGGGAAGGACCCCAACAGCAGCCACAACAGCCAACCCCGCATAATTCCTATCGCCAACACAATCCAGCATCGTCAGCCAGAGGTAATAACTTGGTATGTTACATATGCAGAAGACCGGGTCATAGATCACATCAGTGCAAAAATAGAAATCCTGTGTCATCTGTTCAAGAACGTAATGATGACCATAAGTTTAACAAACAAAACCGAACACTACCCCCACATAGTAATAGTAATTGTCTGAACTTTATTCCAGAGAGTCAGGTAATGCCTGTAACTAAAGGTAAAGTCGGTGAACATGACGTGACAGTGTTACGAGATACCGGATGTGCTGGGGTAGTAGTAAAAAGAAACCTAGTCCGCGAAGATGAAATGACTAACCGAGAAAAAACGTGTGTTTTAGTAGATGGTACGCGTATAGTAACCCCCGTAGCTATTATAAACGTTGACACGCCATATTTTCACGGTGTAACCGAAGCATGGTGTGTCGAGAATCCCATATACGATCTGATACTTGGTAATATTGGTGGAGTAAGAGATGCTGCTGATCCGAAGTTGGACTGGAAACCAATCCAAGCGGTTGAAACCAGATCACAGACATTAAAGAAAGATAAGCCATATCCTCCTCTTATAGTCCCTAAAAGTATTCGCGATGTGGTGAAACCCGAAGACATTAAACTCATGCAGCGTAATGATGTCACACTGCAACGCTTACGTGAACTGGCTGATTGTAATGACACCAAAACAACAATCTGGAGCGAGTTCAACTTTGTTCTACAATAAAGGATTTTTATTTCGACAATATACGCACCTAGGTAGAAGAGATGTTACAGTTAATCGTGCCAAAAGAGTTTAGAAACGATATTATGCGGTTAGCTCATGAATCATTAATGGCTGGTCATCTAGGAACTAGAAAAACAACTGATAGAATTTTATCTGAATTTTATTGGCCAGGTATTCAATCTGATATTAGCCGGTTTTGTAGATCCTGTGACGCTTGCCAGCGAACTGTCAGTAAAGGTAAAGTGTTTAAGTCACCACTTGGTCAAATGCCATTGATTGACGAACCCTTTAAACGAATTGCCGTGGATTTAGTTGGTCCAATACATCCAGTAACTGATAGTGGGTACAGATACATACTTACCATAATAGATTACGCTACCAGATATCCTGAAGCTATACCATTACGTACCATAGAGACCGAAAGAGTTGCAGAATCATTAATAGATGTATTTAGTCGTGTTGGGGTTCCTAAGGAAATGTTGAGTGACATGGGTAAACAGTTCACGTCGGATT